CATGTGCCCTGACCTGCAACTGAACTGTGACCTCTTGGTTCCTGGGTCGATGCTCAACCAACTGAGCCACACTGGCCCGGCCATCACTTGTCATTTTAACTGAGAGTCTTATTTAGAATAAACAGCTCTGAGATAAGAAATGTATCATAGAGGAAATTTTCCATAAAGTGTTTTTTAATCTCATGGGGATTCTGCAAACTTGCTCACCTGATTGAATTCCCCGTGGACATAGTTTATGGCTTTTATTTCCCACACTGGTTAACAAGACCATCAATTCTTGGGGAAAATCAAACCCGTGCAAACATTTCCCTTTTCACAATCAAGCTCGTTACTCCCTGTTACATTGGTGTGGACTCTCCTCTGTGAATTTTTTTGTTTTATTTTTTAATTAAATGTTGGTAGCTTAATACATTATGATGAATTCACTTAATCACTTTCAAGCACAGGAAATATAGTCAGTAATATTGTAATAACTTAGGTATGGTGCCCGGTGGGTACTAGAAATACCAGGGGGCACTCTGTAAAGTCCATGTTTACCAAAACATTATGCTGAACACCTGAAACAAACACAAAATAAAACTGAATACAAAGGGTAATTGAAAAAATAAAAATGAAATAATAAAAAAGGAAATATATATACATAAAATTATACTCTTTGTTAAAAAAGTAACAGGAGTAATGCATATGCACATACATACCCCGTAAGCTTCGGGGTCCCTTTGGCACACACAGCTAGGACCAAGAAACTGTAACACACCAGAGCTGCGATACATAGTTTATATTTGCAAATATTTCTGATAGTTACCCTACCCCACGCCAGCAAAGTTTCTAAACAGCGAGCAACTGAAGAACAAGGGAAATGTCCCTGCTTCTGCATTTCTCAGTGGCAGCAGCAGAGCCACCAAATCAACTGCCCTCGGTAAGTCCTGTGGCAACTGCACAGCTCCTCTCCCACAGAGGTGGGTGCAGGACCCACAGGCACATCCCCTCACCCACGCTGCTCTCACAGAGGCCCAGAGGCCGAGACGGGGGCGAACAGCTCTCACCCTCTGGCCGCAGGGACAACGCACCCCCACCCTCCAGTTACTACAAAGCCGGTGAGTTTTAGCTTCTACAGAAGCATCCTGGAGCGTCTCTGGTTTCCGTGTACAAATCAATTATACTTGAGCTCTGACGGCCACAGCGAGCTCCAAACAGATCACACCCTGTCTCAGCAGCTTGAGCTGACAAAGAGCAAAGGAGCAGAAAGTCAACACAGGGGCCAAGTCCCGTTCCCAGGGCACTGCACTGCGGGAGGGGGGCCTGGTACTTACAGGCTGCAAACTGAACGGTGTCCCCTTCTCACAACCCAGCACAGGAGGCAGAGGTCTCAGCTCTCAGCAGCCCTGGAGCCGCGGGTCCCCGCAGCTCGGCGCTCACGGATTGCCCAGGGACTGCGGAGGCGGCTGGGAGGCGCTGGGACGGATTCTCAGCTGGGACTGGGGACGCTGGAACACTCTCCAGCGTTAATCAACGCTCGGGCTTCGTGGCTGCTTCCCCAAGGGACCCACATAACGAGCACAGGAACCGAAGACGCACCCGGGGGGGCCCCCCACACCTCCACCCGCTCTGCTCTCATGGAGCCGGACCTGGAGACTCAGTTTTTCCCGAACACAGGCGTGCGCCTTCCCCAGGCACACGGAGGCTGGCATGGCTGGCGACAGGTCTGGGGTGGAGATGGAGGCCGCCTTTCCTGTGGGCGGTTCACGGCACCCCTCAACTGGCGACATAACCACACTGGGTGCCCGGCACCTACGGTGGGTTTTCCTGGTGATGGGTTTGTCTGCCAGAGTTTTGCAGGATCGTTTCCCTGTGGGTTTCGGGGGATGCGGGGCAGGAGCGCCCGGAAACGCCGGCTTGCCAAGGGACAGGGTAAGGGTTTGAAATCAAACGTGCTCTGCCCTTTACCAACACGGTGCATCCGGCAGCCGGCCACGCGTGCTCCCTGCTCGGCCTGCACAGTTGTTTACCTCGGTTCGCCTGAGTTCAGCACGTCTGGGTCGGGGACGGACACGCTCAGTTCACAGAACGGAGCTCACTCACCCGCGTCAGGCACGGAAAGGCTGGACCAGGCACCGTGAGGAGTCAAAGTCCCACGTCACGCAAAGCAGCCGGGGTCCATACGACTGTGTCTAACCCTCGCCTTGCCCCAGAGGTCAGGGGTCCAGTGTGATGCTCCCCCTCTCCCCACCTGGGTCCAGGTGTCCCAGGACCTCGAGGTTCTCCAAAGGATCCGAGACCTCACCCCTCATCACAGCGACCAGAGCGACGGGAATGGAATAAAGGTATGTTTTACTGAACTGTCCCCAACCTGGGGGTCCCATGACAAACTGTCTGATCAGCAGCTGTGTTAGGGAACTGAGGCATCTGCTCAGTGAGTGTGAATAAACTGTAAACGTGAAAGGGAAAAAAAAGAGGCGGGTTGTACAGAGATGGTTTTAGCTCTTTCTACACAGACTGTGTCCCCCTGAGAATAAGCCATTTGGAGGAAGAGCCCAATCCGGCCCCAAGGTGTCGTGGTCATGGTGCTGGTCCCCAGAGCGCGGGGGGTGGGCAGGTCTTTTTACACCTAAACCAGGTTGTCCGTCTTCCCTCCTTCTACTCACATGTCAGGTGGGGCTTCTCTTCCCACAGTCAGTGACGCAGTCACGTCATATTCTGCGTGGTGATGTGTAGCATCGAGGTCGAGACAACACAAACTGTCCTGGTCGTGATGCTGGTCTTAGGGAGGAAAAAGACGCTGGATCGGCTCGGTCATGACGCTTCCCTCAGTAACTAGAAACATCGCTCACCCAAGGCCTTGGGATTCTGGGGAAGGTGCTCCGGCCGTCGCGTCCTCCAATCCCCGCTCGATCCCAAACCAGACACAAGGCCTGGGAAGACTTATTAAGGATACTTAATAGCAACAATACACCAAGGGGGTGAAACAGTGTAACTAACCTTTGAAACAATGTTTACTAAACTTCTGTGTAACTTTGAGGTGGTTCAACATGTTTTCAATCCAGTTCCTGCCAGGTCGCCTGGTTCTTTCCGCGCCGGGTATTGTTGCAGTTTGCTGTACCTGGTGCAGTAACTGGCACAGACCTGGTGTTTGTCATTTGTATCTGGCTCCTTATCACCGAGACTGCAGCACGCCTACCCTACTGTGCGCGGCTCACGGGAGGGTGACAGAAATAGCTTAATTGGGTAGCGACTGTGCATCGAGTCACATTAGCAGACTCGATGGCGATGCGCATGGAAAGAGAGCAAATTAAAACACAGACGTGTTGATCGGAGCGGTGCAGTCGCAGGAAAGAGTTTAATTGGTTTGAAGTCCCATTCGGCCCTACTGGCCGGGCAATGCCTCTGAGTCATCTCCGACTGTGTGAGAGATGTCATGTTGCTGATGGTAGGTGAGAACGATTAACTAAGAATTTCCAGCTGCCACCAGGTCCTCATGCACATCCCTCCCGAGACAGACATGCCACTTAAAATAGGAAGTGGTTTAACTAAAAGCCTAAATCTGGGAAGTGTCTGATTTTTTTTTCTTATAAGGTCATAGTCAACATCAAAGTCAAAATCAATATAGAAAAGAGAGGTAGAAAAAGACCAAAATGATTAGTAACTGAAAACAACAGGGACTGTCTTCACAAAGACAGGATGACATGATTGGGTCTTCACAATGTTAAAAGTTTGTAATATTATTTATTTCTTGGGGGCAATGATATTACACATTTGTTCTGAGCAGTGAGCAATGCTGAAGGATGGCTTCTGTCCAGACATACATTCTCTTCTGCTGCGGGTTTGCATTACTTTGAGTGTTTACTATGTTCAGAGATGGCTGCGCGTTTTACACGATTATCCATCTCAACCCTCACTGCAACCCTCTTGGGGTGTCCTTACTGTTCCCAGTTCGCAGGTGAGGACACTGAGGACAGGGCTGCAGAAGGGTAGGTGGTCTAAGGGTGCACAGCTAATAAATGGCAGGTTCATTTTTTTAAAAATGTTATTATTCAGAACATTTGTTTTTCTTTGTTGACAATTTTTTACTTTCCAATCATGTTTACGAGTGAAAATGGACCAAAGTGTCTCTGCCTTACAGCAACGCAGTGGTTCCAAGGTTGTGATTTACTTTGACTCTATTTGACTTTATTTGATTTTTTCCATCACCACTTATCTTTCCCCTGTATGCCCTCTTCCACCTCCAACCGCCCCCGTCCCCCAAACCAGGCTGGGATAGAAGAAAGCGAGAGTATTAAACCTTGACGTTGTCGGGCAGGGCTGATCTCGGATAACATATAAAATGGAATTACGCTGAATGAGATGAGAGAGGAACCAATTTCAACTTCATCATCTCAATTCCCTTCCGTCCACACTTTTTAACTTTTTTGGAAAAATTTCAAACCTACAGAAAAGTTGGCGGGAGGGTGCAGTGAGCACCCGCATGTCCTTGGACCTGCGACTAAGGCGAGCGCTTTGACACCAGCTTTCCGCTTTCTCCCCCTGCGCTCTCCCCCCCCCTCGGAAGACGCCCCCTAAATCGCCTGAGCGTAAGGAGTGGGCACTATGACAGCTTATCCTTCAATAATGCTCCTAAGGATTCGCAAGTGTGTTTTTCAGCTTTACTGAGGCATGACTGACAAGACTATAAAATATTTAAAGTGTACAATGTGATGATTCGCCAAATAACGCTTTCCCCAAGAACAACTCCACCTTCCCAAGCCCGGCCATTAGCCCACCCAGGAAACTGAACGGCACAGAACTGCCACCTGCTACCTTGTCTGTCCAGGTAACAATGTATCCCAGGGCCTCGCTTGGGGGGCAGGTGCTGCCAGTTCGTCCTGTTAACAGAGGGGTTAAATCTGACCACCAGATTATCTGTTATAAATGTAATAGCATCATTGACTTTGGTAACTAGTAAGCAACACTGGAGCAACTGACACTGCATAAATGTCATTTTCTCTAACAGCCTCTTCCCCATTTCAGCAAACACGGACAAACCTTGACCGGATCAATTTTCATAATGATGGTTACAAAGAACCTTAAACCTCAATGACCTGCCAATTTCTTAGCTTAAAGGATCCCTACCCCCTTGGTCAACCCTGACACACCTTCAGAGTGGTGGGGATGGAGGCCACTCGGGAAATGCTAAGCTTGGGCAGCTGTCTCGACACAGGACAATGACAAGGAACCCAGCTTTGCAGGAAAATGTATCATCAGTTCTAGGAAACAGGGAGGTGGGAGGGAAACTAGGCAGGAGCCACTTCCCTTTGGAGGGGAGGAGGGAGCTGTCAGGACAGCCGCCTGCCGCTCCCCTTAGTGATGACTTAGGGCGCGTCCTGAGGTCCCCTGTCCTGAGGTCCCCCGTCCTGAGGTCCCCCGTCCGGAGCTGCTAACGCTGCAGACTCTACACGCGGCCGCGGGTCCTCTCTGGCCTGCAGACCCCTCCACAGCGAGGAGCCAGAGTCCCTCCCAGACACTTGAAATTGCTCCATCTATTGATCGCTCAACTATTCTATTTTGATGTAGCATTTTTCCACTAGAAATGAATAAAAAATGAAAAGCCCTTCCAAAACAGAAATCTAACACACGATCCTGCTGTTCACAATCCCTCCGTGGATCCCTCTCAGTTCCCGGCAAAGTCCCAATACGACCAATTCCTGCGAAGGCCTTTCCCTCGCCCTCCTCCATCCTCCGGGATTTCCCCTCCTCCTTCCTGAAAATGCTGCTATTTTTTCCTTCCACCAGATGTACTCTCTCCTTTGCTGTAGTGCGTCCCGCACCTACCACCTTCATCACAAACGCTCGGTCCTTCAGAGGTCGTTCTGACCATCAAGGTTTAAGGGTGAGCATTCTGGAGCCGCACAGCCTGGTGCCAGAGTCCCCGCTTACTGTGTGAACTGGACCAGGTCGCTCACTATCCCTGTGCCTGACCTTCTAGAAAACGGTGACAATGGCAGCAACTCTGTCACCTAACCACTCATCTCAATACCCTCTATTCTGTCCACCCAATGCTCCAATCACGACTGGTTTAAGATGAAGAGTTTTGGACTCATGCTCCCCCCATTCCCACCCCCAGGAGAGTCACTGTGTCTTTGGGTTCACAGGCCACTGGACACACGGCACTGTAACCAGTGGTCCACGCAGGTGTTTGTCCTGCTAGACTACGGCCTCCTTGAGGTGGGTGTCATGTCCCATTCAGTTTTATTTACCAGCATCCAGCTCAGTGTAGAGCTCAAACGTTGTTTAAAGAATTAAGGAAGGACCTTTGTCCATGTGCTGCAGTTACAAAGTCATGCAGCAATGTGGCTAACATTTTATTTCTATATATAAAAAAACAAATTGCCTCTAAGCACGTCAGATGCCATCAATAAGTAGCGGTCACACTGGAGAAATTCCGCAGTCCTGACATATCATTGGATGACTCGAGAAAGCTGAGTTTGTAACTAAAGGTAGCTTTTTGGTAACTTTGTTTCGTAAGCACTACACAGAAAGTAAACTATGATAACAATTGATACTTTCTTGGTAGACAATTGCTTGTATCTTTTAATAAAATCTAGCTTTTCTGAGCAAGCCCGTGCACAAATCATGGGGATGGTGAGGGACGTATGACAAGAGACAGGACGGGCCCTCAGCCAGGCACTATGGGCGGCCGTCTGCTCCCTCTCGGTGCCATGGTCCAGCGGCTGAGCCCGAGACCCAATCTGAAGCCCTTCTGATTAAATTACTTTCAGGGCTGAAGTTTGCATTCTTTACACCAGAGCCATATAAATAATGTACCGTATACACCACTAAAAGAAGCAAACGTTCTGAAAAATTTATTCGCCCAGCAACATTTACTGAATAAGTCCTGTGTTTAAGTGGCTGGATTCACTACATGTCTAGACTTGGGGTTTGCTTTCTTGGGATGTGAGGGCCAGTGGCAAAAGATAAAACCTGTGGATAGGCAGGAAACACTTATTAAAGTCGGAAAGGGAAGGCCTGGGGTTTGAAAGGTGAAGGTGGAAGATCAGCCCATTTCAGACACTCAGAGACGGCGGTTAAATGTTGACTATGGTGTTACAGGGACGCTACAAATAATCTCCTACTCAGCTGTTCTGCAGTGGAAGAGGCCTTTCTCCAGAAAAATACCACGTTCCCACTCTGGACACTGTCTCTGGTATCTACGTTCTGTTAAGGATTTAAAAAAAAATCTCCCAAGGGGGAAAAAATTACCCACAGTTAAAATTTTTAATAAAAAATCAAGGAATTCACAGACTTTCATATCAAGGTAACATTAAAATGAAAAACATTGCATATAAATAATATTTTACACTTTTCCAAGAACATTCACATTATCTCAACGTGAGGAAGCAGTGAGTGCTGTTATCACTGCCTGTTTTTCAGGTAGAAAAGTGAGATGCAGAGAAATGAAGCCACTCTTCTCAAGCCTCTCGGGGAGCCGCAGGGATTCTGCATGTTGACTACGACTCCGCCCTAACCTGCTGGGACTCACCTGTCTCAGCATCGATTTGCACCTTTACTCTATCCAAACTGGTTTAGCCACATGGGAGGGAAATCAAAATAATAAATGCTTGAATGAAAGAGAAATTAATTTCTCACAAGAAAAAAAATCCTACATAATCGAAAGCTGGTGTAGAAATAGTCACCCATTAAGAACCTAG